ACTATTGTTTGACAACAAACCTCTACTATATAATGAGTGACTAGGACAAACCTTAGCTCACTTGAACAATCTGAGAGCTGAAATAAGTTTGAGTGACATTAAAGAAACATAAGTGAGGCAATGTCCCCGAACCATGAGCACTCACCAAACCTGAGAAAAGCTTATGGGATCCAATGCTAATAGTGGCCGAAAGGGTGTGTGTCAGAACATATATTATAAAACAATACAAGCACAAAAATATATGCGGTCAATACTCAGAATATACTGAATATGAAGAAAGATGCATGAACATAACATGATAATATGACAAGTCTGAAAACATAATAATGTAATGACCAAGAGATCATAACATAAATATGATCATATGATTTTATAAAACATAGTACAAGGTCATGCATTCTTCTTTAAATCATAATCATAGTCATAAAATAAGTCTTTTGTGGAAAACATAAACTTCTGTTGGAGACAGTGTTTATCAACATAAACCATGTGAGCTATAACATGGAGTTCAGTTTACTACTCCTACACCAAAACGAGATTGTTCTACTAGCCAAGGTAAGGACCGTAATCATGAGCTTAGGTGGATTTACTAGCTGGAGTCAATTAAGACTAAGTCCTACGAAGGCACGTAATTCTGAAACAAGGGGATCACTTTTAAATGTCTCGTGTAATGTCCCATTTTGTGTGAATTTTCTTTTGATTGTGAATTGACAATTTTACCCTTCCCCTTAGCGTTTTCATGCTTAGTTTATATTTTTGGAATGGTTGGTGTGGTCTCCAATTTGATCAGTTGTGTTTTTGGTAATTTGACCCTTCTTGAGTTGTGAATTCTTGATAGAGTTGACTTCGGTCAACATTTGGATTTCCAAGCGTCGAATGAGATTTCCGACAGTTCCATCGCGTTCGAAACATCGATTTTGAGCTACTGAGATGGTTGGTAAGGTTTCCAAGGCCTCAAGTTGAGTTTTGAGGCATTTGAGTGAAAAGTTGAGTTTTAGCCTTAAGAGCAGTCCGGGAGGGTAATTTCATCATTTGACTTTTTTTTTAAAATTCGACGATTTCATTGAGTCTGGATTGTTGATCCTAGTGGGGTTGCATGTCCTTTTTATTTTGATCGAACCCCAAACGATTCTCGATATTTTATTAAAAAAGAAATAAAAAGCTTATTTTTTGAAAATCAATTTTCAAAAGTCACCACTTAATTATTTTTAAAGAAAAATCAAGAAAATTTATAAATTTCAAAAGACTTAAACAGATAAATCTTTTGAAAATACCAAAAGGGTTCAGGGTTCAATTTACACTTCAAGAAGGTGTTAGGCACTTGAACTGTCTGCTAACGTGCGGTTGACCTACGACTTGACTAAGTTATTTGACCAACAAAATATTAATTAAGTAATAAAATATTTGAAATTATTTGAAAATAAATTAACTTAAACACTTTGAAATAATTATTAAATGAAAGTAAGCTTTAGAAAAATGACGAAGTAAAGACAAACCAATTGACTAAATTATTTAAATGAAATAAATCTTCATAACAAAAATGGTTCACCTTTAAGAGATTTAATTAAATTAACCAAATAAATAAGGGAAAATTTTCAAAATGTCAATATTTTAGCATTTAATAGGATTCCTTAGCCACATTTCCAATATTTATTAGAAGTGTCAATATTTTAGTTTGTTATATATCTGATTTGTATTTTTTCAATTTGTTTAATTTGAAAGAATAAAATTATTTAATAACAGAAGGGAGAAAATCAAGGGAGAGAGTATTTCAGAAAAAGGTAAATATCACTTAATTTTCTCATCAGTTACATTTTCAAAGAAAACTCAAACGTGTGCCTTTCTCACAATGTATTTTTATTTTATTTTTTCCAGAATTTTGTAACCATTTTTTAATCGTATTCATTCCAATATGTATATTATTTGTATTCATTCTAGTTTTCATGTTGTTTTTGCATAATGAAACTTGTATTTTTTTTATTAGTTTGTATTCATTCCAATATGTATGCCAAATGAATTTGTAGTTATTTAAGAAACATATTTGTATTCATGTATTTTTTTCATTGTGTTTTTATTTTTTTCTTCAGAATCTTGTATCCTTTCTTAAGTCGTATTCATTCCAATATGTATTTTACTTGTATTCATTCTAGTTTTTGTGTAGTATTTTGTATAATAATATATAAAATACAAACAACAGTATGTTGAAAAAGTGAGAATAAAATATAAAACTGAAAAGGAATAAGTGAATATTTATTGCAATCATTCTTTAATAAAAATACATCACTAGTTGGCATACCTTTAGAATGAATACAAATTAGGAACAAATGCCAGATTCATAAACTATGAAACATGATTTTTCAATGAATACAAATATTAATAGCATACATACGATTTTGAATACAAATTGAGAAAGGATACAAAATTCAGAAACTCTTTTTATAAAAAAATAAAGCAATCTACTAGGAAGTTGCTCTTCCTATAAATAAAATACATATCTAGTTGACATACCTTTGTGATGAATTCAAATTAAACAAATACAAGATTCATAAACTATGGAACATGAGATTTTGAATGAATACAAATATTAATAGCATACATACTGATTTGAATATTAATTGAGAAAGGATACAAAATTCTAAAAAAAACTATAAATACAAAACAAATCAATAGGAAATTGTTCTTCATCAACTTGGTCTTCAACAAGTTTTTCGAGATCTTGAGCACCCAATTTTTTTTTATCTTTATTTTATTAGTAGTGTCTTTACATAATAGAGGAAAATCTCAAAAGATACTTGGTAACAATGTATTTACCTTTATCTGTGGGTGATTTTTTTTTTTGACGAAATTGTGAGATTTCTTGAACAAATTGGAGGAAAATAGAATAGGTGATTTTCTTAGACAATGAAAGGAGAGAACAATGGAGAAAATCTCAATAGAGAGAAAGGAGGAATTAGGAATAAAAACCTAGAAAGAGGAGAAAGTGGGTAATGAGAGTTTTTTTTTTCTTTTTTTTTCACGTATAGGGGAGTAAAATTAGTCCAATGTGAGTCCTGATTTGAGAAATAAAAGGAAAAAAAATTAATTATATTAGGATACATTTTCTTTGCGAAAATATTGATATTTTCAATAATTATTTTAAAGTGTAGATGTTTTTAATAATTATGTTAGGGAGTTTGACTAGTTTGCTAATTTTTCCAATAAATAAAGTCAGAGTTAAACAATAATAATGATAAGAAATGATAAGTAAAGGAGAGAATAAAATTGGGCATTTGCCCAAGTTTAGATTGTTGGACTAATAGGCCCATTCTTCCACCTATCCTAAATTCTAATGAGGTTGCATCATTTGGGCCCTTTGATCCCTTTTTTCGTTATGAAATCTACTCCTTTTAGTCCCCTTTGGATTGCTAGTACAAAGATCTTGGGCTTGAGGCCTAATTTCGAGTTTACTGAAAATATATACAGTTTCTGTATACATCTGTATACTATTGTATATCGGTGTATATCAGCTCCTTCCACCTATATATTTACTTCCAATTTCACTCGATTTTGTGGCCATGCTCCTTTGGATGAGGCTGACTTGATGGAAAAAGCAAATGGGCCTCTGTGGCCCACTTCGAAGAGGCGTTGATGAATAAATGAAGTCCAAATGGATTTGGACAGGATCACATGGAGATAAAAGAAAATATATTAATAAGAAAACAATCTCATATGCTATAACAATATATCATATTTTCCCTTAGAACTAAAGCTTCATACACATTGTACTCAAATATTTGCACAAGGATTCATCAAGAAAAAACACATACATGAACAAATAGGAATTTTAAGGAACCATTTTAAATCATTTGCAAGATTTCAATTAAGCAAATAAAGGTGCAGATTTAGAGGAATAATTAGCTAAGCATATCTAACTATGACATTCCATGTTCAACAGTAAACACGATGGCATAACTTAAACTGTAGAATTTAACAACTACAAAGAAACTATATAAATTAATGATCATTCCACATAACTGATAAACAATCAACTACACTTTATCCGATACTAGGTGTAGGCGATCGTAATCTAGTATAAAACCCAACGAAGAGTTGGGGTCGAACCCACAGGGAGCGGTACAAGTTCGAATTCAGTTAGGAAGTTACAAATGTAATCTAGTTGGTGGTAGGAATAGAAATTGTCACAAACATTTAACTAAATTGAAAGGGGTGACAACAAATGTCAGATGGGGGGATTGATTTGTTAATTAGCAACTAAAACAAATACGAAAACAGGGGAATCAACAATGTAGAGAGGAATTCTCGGGATGTGATCGATTATAGGATAATTTCGCTATATAGGTAATTAAAATTTACTAACAATTGCTAAATCTCAATAGGTAGGCTAGACTATAGGTGCAATAGCTTTCTCTCGAACAACTATTAGGATTCAAGTGAGTTCTCTCGAACCTCGACAAGCTTAACAATATAAACAACCCAAAACCTTAATTTATCTACTCTATCAAGCTAGATAGGTAGAATCGAGTTTAGGATTCACTTTCTCGAGCTGAACCCACATCAACCCAATAACTACAATCATTAATCGAAAGCCTTGGTTCTAAACCTTCTTTCTCAAGCAAGACCTAAACTCTAATTTAGAATTGCATTTGTAACTACAATTCAAAGTTTAATACACAACTATCGATTAAACCCACTTCAATTAAGCATTTAAATTAGTAAATAACAATACCCATAAGCTAATTAAGCCAATAATCACATGATCACACCCCAAGAATTGAGGTTTTAGCTACACATCATAAAAAGAGAGAAACAATTACCAACTATATTAGCCATGAGCTGGGTAAACGTTTCTAAGTCTCTACAATGCTCCAAATTGAATTGGTTCAAAAACCCATTCGCAATTCCTCAAAACTAAGTCTCAAAAGCTTCAAAGTCTATAATGGAAACTCCAAAACTCAGAGAAAAGTAAACCTCCAAAGCTTATGGAATCAGAACTCCCAACTCTTCTTTTCAAATTTAAATTTATAGTTTCCCAAATTTTGGCATTTAGGGCCATTAGGCGGAGTAAGTCGCACCTCGCCAACTCAGTCGGTAATCCGCCCTTCGCTCCAATCCATCGCTGGTTTGCATTGGCCGTTAGACTTCAGGGTTTTGTGACTTTAGGCGATCAAGGTTAATGTCGCCGAGTCGGTCGGCGATCCACTGACTATCCATTTCTATCGCCAAGAAAGTTCTTCCCTTGGGCTGGCACACTGGAACTTTAGGCGAGCTAAAGTGCCACTCGGCGGTTCGCCGAGTGGTCTTGGCGATCACCAGGATTGCCTTCCTTTAACTTCTTCAGCTTTTCCGCTCTTTTTTGCCAGGTAATGTCCTTGCCTTGATTGTTAGCCTTCCTTGCTGCAAATCAAAACTTTAACATTAGTTTAGAGCATAAATTAGGCATTTGAGGACACTTAAACTATGAAAACAATGCCCTAAATGAGTCGAAATCTCTGACTCGTCAACAGCTCAACTTAAAGTTTTTCTTGTCCTCAAGTAAAACTCAAGATCAATCAGTTCAACAAGGATGTCTACAAACAGTGTTGCTTAAGACTCAACACAAATGCACACAAAAGGTTCAAACTACACATACAATCCTCAATTGTGCACTCAAAGTTTCAAATTGTGACTCACCATTATCAAGTATACTGAAGCTTACAATGCTTTCTTCAAATGCAAGTTCAAGCTCAAGCTTAACAAAAGTATTCAAATGCCCTCACAACAAAGATGATTCCATACTGGCACAACAATTTAATATTCCAGAATCAAATATATTATTGATCATTGGGAGAGGATACTTATTCTTAATAGTAACCTTGTACAATTGACGGTTGTCAATACACATGCGAAGTGAACTATCCTTTTTATGAAAAAATAAAACTGGAGCATGCCATGGAGAGATACTCGATCGGATGAAACCCTTATCCAACAAATCTTTCGGTTTCTCCTTCAAGTCCTTAAGTTCTGTTGGTGCTATATGGTAAAGAGGAATATAGATAGGTTATGTATCTATAAGAAGCTCCACACTGAAGTCTATTTCCCTTTTGGAAGGAACACCAAGAAACTCTTTTGGAAACTCATATACAACAAGGATCGACTCAAGAGTAGGGGTTTCAAAATCCGTATCCCTAACCCAAACAAGATGATATATGAAACCCTTAGAAATCATCTTCCTAGATTTAAGACAACAAACAAATGACACTTAGGCAAATAATTTCCCCCTTTCCACTCTAGGATGGGCTCATTTGGAAATTGAAACCTAACCACTTGGGTTCTACAATCAACAGAAGCATAACAAGAATGAAGCCAATCCATACAAAAAATGACATCAAAATCCAACTTATCATGCTCTACAAGATTAACATGTGTGACTATATGAGATAAGAAGACGAGACAATTTCTATATTCTCTTAGCTATAATAAATTCACCAATAGGTGTAGAGAAAAAAAAGGTCTAATAACAGTTCTAGAGAAATATCAAAACTCATAGCCACATATGGCGTCCCAAAGACAAAGTATCACCATGATCAAGCAAAGCATAAACATCAAGATAAAAGACTCTCAACATACCGGTAACAACATCGGGATAACCCTCTTGATCATGTCGAGTTTGAAGTGCATCTAATCAATTTTGCTTTGGAGCAGCTGAACCGGAACCACTAGGCAGAGCTTGCCTACCATATTTTCCCTTGTCAATTCAAGATGGGTAATACGTTAAGAAATGACCACTCTTACCACAACCAAAAAATTATTTGTTCCCATAAAGAAAATTTCGGAATGACTCTTGCCACACTTTTGGCATACAGGAAACGAAGATCCATTTCCACCATCATTCCCTCCTTGAGGTTTAGGGTTAGACACCTCTCTTTGTTAAACTTAAGATCCAGAGTATTGGAGGAACCTTGAATAGAAAACCTTTGTCAGAATTTAGAGAAATAATGTCCATTGGATCTTGAATGTGAAAAGTCACCATCATTGAACTTTGCTCTCTTTGCCTCCCTAGACCTTTCCTTAAGATTATCTTTGTAAAATCCCATATTCTACGTGTATTAGTTCTATTTATATGATTCTTTTAAATTGCCTTTTGGTATAGTTATGGACTCGGTTTCCTATGCGACTAGTGACAATAGAATATGTTTAAAGTGAACTGTCTGTAGATTTTGATGAGACCCGATTAAGTTGACGTCGATGGAAGTATTTAAACTTGAGATCATAAGGTGGTATTTGAGTCTAAAGTCTAAAGTGACATAGTGTATATAAGTTTTAAGTTAAGTTAAAGGTATTAGGGTTTAGAAATGGAATAAAGTATTGAATGTGTTTGCTTGACTTAACTAAGCTAGTAGGTGACAAGTAGGTACATCACCTACTTTGACTTATTGACCAGCCAAAGGACCAAGTAGGTGAATCACCTACTTTGACTTATTGACTAGCCAATAGACCAAGTAGGTGCATCACCTACTTTGACTTATTGACCAGCCCAAAGGACCAAGTAGGTGCATCACCTACTAAGACTCTTTTGACCATGTTATTGGGTCAAGTACACTACACCTACTTACATTAATCTGGTCCAAGTTGAATAGAAGAATTAGGAGAAAATGGACAGCCAAGGCCTAATATTTCCAAGCCCACAAGAAATAATTTGAATGGAAAAGTAGGTGCATCACCTACTTAAATGTGTGGCCTAAATTAAAAACACATGTTGGCTGCAAATGAAGTACAAGAAAGGTGGCAAAAGAGAACTTTTTAAGGCCAAAAATCTGATACAAATATCTCATTTTCCTCTTATCCAAATTTTAAGCTCTCAAGTTCATATATTCCTCTCTCAAGATGAAACAGCCACCCAATATTCCCACTAGGGTTCTAACTATTTTTCAAGCAGCCACAAGATCACCTTCTCTCCTCTATTGTTTCAAGTATATTGGACAGTTCTTCGAGGGGAGTGAACTAGAGATAACTATATGTCTTGGCATCCAAGGTTCTGCCACTCTCTTCCAAAGATTAAGAGAAGGTTACAAAAATAGTAATTGAAGGAGAATAATAGATTTAGATAGCCAAGGTAAGGGCGCTGCCACAACCTCTAATTATTAGTTTATTTGAGAATTCTAGACTTACTTGTTTATTGCAACTCGTGGGATGGTGATTGAAAACCATAAATTCCAGTCTTTTGATTATTTTTGAGTGTTGAGGACTACTATTGTATTGATTTGTTTATGGGAGGTCATGGATGTACTTAGAGATGATTGCGAAAAGTTATAGGGGGAGATTTATAAGTTATGGTGATGCACCATTAAATTAAAGTTTTGGTAAGCTACTAATATTAGCCTTAATGATTGGTTGTTGTAGATGAAGTCTATGATGTTAAAGGACAGGTTGACACTTCGTAAGCTTTACGAATTGGGAATTGAGGTATGTAAGGCTATTCGATTTCCTATTGCTTTGGCATGAATCCAACACTTGTATTACAAAGTAAACTTTCTAAGTGCCCTTGGTAGTGACTGATCCATAGTTCTTGTTTCTACTCCCTAGAGCATCAAAGTGAGTACTCTAATATGAGTTTATTACTGACTATACGTTCTTGATGTAACACCCCGAATTTTCGAAACGTCTAAATTGACTCGTATCTTTGTGGAAAGACCAGGGGGGTGGGTAATAAATTATTAATGATGTGTTATGTGATATTTTTAAGTGTTCAAGGGTTGTATCTCAAGTTTTTAATTTAGGCAATTGGCAAAATAAAAGTTGGCAAAAGTTACCGTAAATTCCTTTTTAAAGATTTGTCTAAAATTTGGGTCAAATGTCTCAGAGATTTTTTCCCAATCTATATAGATTTATGGTGCCCACGACCTATGAAATCGAAGGTCTACGAGTCTATTTTCCAACGCATCAACCCGTTTGTTCTTACGACTTCAGAATGAAGAGATATTCGCATTTTTGCAAGACGGCACAAGCAGGTAGATGAGGTGGGTCCCCTAGGTCGGTGGAACTTTATATATATCATCTTCTTTGACTTTTCTTCATTTTCCTTCATTTTTCTTAGTGAATAACCAGAAAACTCACAAAACCCACTTCTAGGATCAGCCAAGTTACAAATTTTCGTGACTTAAGTCCTTGACAAAAGTTGTTCTACGCGTTGAGCTCGTCAACATGGTATAATTTGTTTTATCGATTTCCTAGCTTATCATACTTTGGTGTGTGGACAACATGGGTTTGGGCATATTTTAAAGTTTTGAGGTGTATTACGAACTTAAAATCAAGGTAAGACCCTTCTTCCATCGATTCTAGCTTTGATAAGTCACAAATAGCATACATATCTTTTATCGAATTATCATGGTATCCTCTATTCTTTTGTGTTGATTATGGTCCTGCCTTGTGGTAGTATCGAGGAGTGTTGTGAGTAAAGTCGTTAGGCCACGTGAATTCAACAAAAAAGTTATGTTAAGGCTATTCCCTACTTACGACATGTTTCCTTAAAGCTTAGGAGCAATGTAATTGGGTTGTTATCCTTGTTATACTTGTAGCCATTATTGTTGATTGTTCGCTGCTTGAGTTGATGTAATCCTCTCTTGCCGGGGTTCTTATTCAGTTAGTAGCATCCCTATGTTGGACACGACTTAGAGGTTATTTGTATAGGTTGCTTATAACTAAATTGCTCGCTTTTAGCGATTGGATTGTTATTGTTTCCCTTGGGGCTATTGTGGTTAGTTGTAGGAATGTGATCTATGCCTAGAAGGGCTATGTTCTGCCTACGGGGCTATATGGATACCTAAGAGGGATATGAGTTGCCTACGGGGCTATATTGATGCCTACAAGGGCTATGAGTTGCTTACAGGGCTATATTGACTCCTAAGAAGGCTATGTTCTTCCTACAGGGCCATGTTGTTGCCTAAGAGGGCTATGAGTTGTCTATAAGCTATGTTGATGCCTAAGAGAGTTATGTGCTACCTATGGGGATATATTAATGCCTAAGAG